GGCAGCGAGAAGATGGTGGAATTGAAGAAGCGAGAGAGAGATGTAGGGATGACCGGGACATGGTTAGCATGAGGATGCTGAACGCTCCATTCGATGGCATGAATTTGGGTCATACGGCGGGTACACCACTGAAAGTGTAACACCCTGCCCCGTGGGACCCGAGGTAGTTACTTCAGACCTCTAGTACTGTCCTCACAAACCACCACGAGCTTTTACCGCGCATTTTGTCCTCACTCATGCGCGCCCTGAGAAACTTCCCAGGGGGTCACCCATCCCAAGACTACTCTCGAGCAAGCACGCTTAACTTTAGAGTTCTTAGGTAATGAGCTCCCTTAAAAGGAGATGCACCTCAGTTGGTATGAGTAGTACTATTAATCCATATATATTAAATCTCAAGTGTTACAGAAAGAGGGTATCAATCGAGCGACGGTCCAACCTCCGCCTGAACCACCACCATGGATTGTACGAGGTGCTAGAGTCCGTGAAAATTTTCCTAGTAATTTTTATCTGTTTGTCATTTGTTTTCTTGTGTTCATCTTTGTTTTTGTTGTTGGTTTTGACAATTTGTTTGAGTTTTTAGCCTTTCTCTATGTCATTAGGTATGGTTGGATCTATGGGAACAGGTTTGGCTGTGTCAGGCCCACTACATGGTTAGCGATTCGTGTTGCTCTTTCAGGGGTGACCGTCTCAAAGTCTCACCATAGGGTTACAATTGTAGTTGTTGGAGTTTCAGTTGGTGTCAGTATTATTTTCCCTTTGCTTGATGTAATGATCCTGAATCTTTTGATATGAATAGAGGACTGTTCTGATGATAAAAAAAAGGAGAACCAAATTTTGTATTGTTTCTAACTTCAAATTGGTACGTGCATTCTTCTTAAATTAGGATGTTTTTACTTGGACTGTAATTTGCTGTGCTGGTCTGGTCTGGTCTGGTCTGAACTGGTCTGGTCTGCTAATGTCTGGTCTCTTTGTATTTTTATAACTATCCAAGTCTGGTCTGGTTTGGTCTGAACTGGTCTGGTTTCTTCTGATCTGGTCTGGTCTGGGACAAATTACCATCCAAGTAAAAACATCCTTACTCGCACGCTATTACAATTTGTTTTAACCCATAACCCAGTGCATATTGTTATTTCATTGGCTTGGTGATTGCAGTTTTAATTTGCATCACCATGTAGAGACTATTAAACTTTAGGTTTAGTGGATTCGTGTAACAATTTAATTTTTAATGGTAACATGTGGAGTAATATTCCGAACACAAAATTGGTTTTTATATTACTGTAAATACAAAATTAGTTTTTGTAAGTAAAACTAAATGTTATTGATTCAGGTATTTGTTGAGAATAATAAAGTATATATTGAAATTAAATGAAAAAATAAACTCAAATTTTACGTATAGATGTATTATAGCATGGTAAATTAGAGAGATTCAATGCTAAATCAGATTGATTTTGAGATTACAAATTAAAAGTTAGATGTTCACTCCATTAAAAATAATCATTATTTTGGTGTAATTTTGTTACAACTATTTTCGTTTTTTCTTATTCATTCATGTGTGTCTTAATTACCTCAATAGCTCTATCATATGAAATGAAAGTTTAATATACTTCAAGAAGGCGCTCTAATTAATAAATATTATTGAGCATTTAGCCAATATACTTCGCAACAACTAACATATCTAAAAGAACGAGTAATAATTAATATACGAGTTAAAGTAGTACTCCCTCCGTCCCGCTATGATTGTCCCATTTTACCATTTCGGTCCGTCCCACTAAGATTGTCTCATGCCTTATTTGATAAAGTTTGTGTGGTTCTAAGTCATTCCTACTTTATTCTTACTTTATTAATTAAATATCAACCACATAAACTCACTTTTATTAATAACCGTGTCACTTTCTCTTGTCCCAAACTTAGGGGGACGGAGGTAGTACATTCTAGGTAATAATATACGAGTATACGAGTTAAACATTCATCATGATTACATTTACCTATGGGATTTGGAGAACGAGTGGACGAGTGGTGATGAGCAGAGAAACGAAGTAGCTCTACAACTACATTGATTACTGTTTGAAGATAAATTATACTCCATTAGCTTTTCTTGTGGTTTTTGAAAAATTGATAGATAAGGATCGATGACCTCTCGATGGTTACGTTGTTCAAGATTCAAGAATAAGGATGGGTTTTGCCTTCTGCACAACAAATAAGTAGACTGAAACACTTAACAGTTAACAACCTAGCTAACAATATAATGTTGACTTGAAAGCATGTTAGCACATCTTTTTCTTTCACTTATTTTTCATTTTTATTTTGATAGAATGGTAGATATAAGAGTCCGAGCTTTTCCTTGAACACATATATCGTCTAGAAGGTTTACTTTGGAAAGTAGACCGATTTATTATCCCAATATGATTTTTTTTTACTCCAGGGGGAGTATGGGGGAGGGGGTCTGGGGGGCTGGAGTAATAAACTCTGCTGAAACTCACTCCATCGAGTTTTGAACCTGAGACCTCCCATAAGGGAGAGTGAGTCGGCGACCAGCTGAGCTGGACCGGCCTCTTCCTCTATCCCAATATGATTATATATTGGGAAAATGGAAAATAATAATTCAACCTTTACTCGGTCTTCATTTAACGGTCCCTTTTATCGAAAATCCATTAAAAATCCCAACTATCCATGTCATCTTCAATAAAAAGTCCCGACCCGAGAGTGACTGGATGGAGTAAGTTTTTAAATTTAGAATTACCAGTAACAGGGACCATTAAATGAAGATCGGGTGAAGGTTGAATTATTAATTTCTACTTTTCTTTAAAAATATGACTGCCCTAGCCGGTAACAAGTCTTAGAGACTGATTACAGAAGATGACATGCAAAGTTGGGATTTTTAATGGATTTTCGATAACAGGGACCGTTAAATGAAGACCACGTAAATGTTGAATTATTATTTTCCATTTTCCCGTTTTGCAATCTGCATAAGGTACTACGGCTGCTCATTGTGAACATTGTTGTACGTATGCTATCATAGTTGAGTACTTGATCATGTATTGCAAGATATGATACTATGCGTTTCTTAGTCTCGGGAGTCCAGTTAGGTATGTTATGTTCAAGTTTTTTTCTTGTCACTACATATATCGCCATTACTTGTCACAACATATTCTTGTCATTACATCCGCTCGCATTGCATTTTCTCTAATGTAATGGTATGTAACAAAATTTACAATCAATTGTAACAATCTTCTCAACATGCCACAAGTGTTACAACAGATTGAGGATGAATGTAACAGTTTTAAACTTGCACAGATGTAACGTTAGATTTAAAATGAGGCTCTAATTTGATTTGTAATACACCACAAATTAGAGCGAGAATACTTGCGACAGTTTGTTTGCATGTAAATATAGTGAGTTTGTGTTAGTAGTTGAGTGGCAGAATTGCTCCCATTTAAAATTGCTTAGACGAATTGAATAAAAGATTTATCTAACCCTTCAATCCTCCATTTATGTTGAGTTTGTGACTTGTGTGTTAAATTTCTCTCGTTCTAAATTTTCAAAACTGGATTTTTAATTTTTTTCTAATAAAAAATGAATTTCATCAATTGTATCGACAAGTATCGATCATTATCAGATACGCGAATACACCTTCGGGTGAAATATTCATGCATCAATCATCAAAGTTATGTATTGAGAAATGTGAACGTCATCTCTAAAAAATACGAAGTAAAAAGGAATGAATCAAGTATTAGGGGTTGTTGAACAATACGATGAAGGTGGACGTGAATTCTGAGATTGACGTGTTAACTTACAATCACCTGCTTTGGGCGTTGGGCTAAGCCTAGTTGCAAATCATATTTGAGGTGTATATATTATAAAGTATGTGCATCTTCACGTGCCATTAGTATGCTCGTCTGGACCTATTAACTAAAAATATACGAACAGCACTTTTCTTATGGGCCACTAAACAGCGAAGGGAGCTCAAATGCGTATATTATGACACCACGCGTCCACGCCTATAACATACGGAGTAAAAATGTAAAATAGAATTGGAAGAAGTTTTTAACCCGCACGAGTAACTCAATTGATTGAATGACGAGAAAATTGGAGGAATGATCAAATCAAAACCCGCAATAATCGTGTGGAAGTTACAAGTCTTGCATACTCTTGGTACGCATGAATATAACTATACAAGACCTATTACCATTAGACTGACAGAATCATTGTGATGTATATCTTTCCATATGCTTTGTCGGATCGAAACGTGGGAGGTACTTGGAGTTGGGGATTGAACATTATGCAAGAATAGAATTGGAAGCTATTTTAAAACCAACTGTTTAGTGGAACAATTTACCAGTTTACACTTTTAGGTGATGTTTCAAAAAATAAATATTAGTATTTGTTCTTCCTCACTTATGTTTTTTTTTTTTTACCTTCATTGTCTTTTAAATATTAACTTAAAATAAAGGTAATTGAGAAAATGCAATTTTTAGAGATCATTTTGTAAAACTGAAATGTTTTTACGTGGACTGTATTTCAATCACAAAACAAATCAGACTTAAATAGATCAGACCAGGCTTTAACATTTATAAAATACATATAGACCCGACATTTTGAAAAAGGTTATATTTAAAACATACTCATAATTAGTTATTTTTTTGGCAATTCTTTCTAACCTAATTTGTTCTTTCAAAAAACAAACTAATATGTTAATAAAATGAAGGAAAAAAGTACGGAGTATGAAAAATGGCTACAATTGCTCTGTTAAGCAAATTCATAGTTATAAAGGACTTATTATAGTCTCAGACCGGACTAAACCAAACTTGAAATTATCAGATCAGATTTAAACAGACCAAGTTATATCAAACCAAGCCAAAACAATTCAATTCAATTCAATTCATATGGACTATATGGTACCCGTATTTGTTTGTGAAAGTCAATACGAGCTACGTAACATGCACTACATTCGTAAGACTATAATAATTGTATTACGGCAATATTAACAACAAATAATTTGATACATTTCCTGCTTCCTACATGCAAGTAGGAACAACGAAATATCAATATATATTGTCAACACGTTTTAATACAAAATCAGCAAAACAGAGGGAATCAAAACTGTTGAGACGAAAATGGATAGAAACTGTCATCCTTTACTGAGAGGAGGGAGAAGAGAAACAAAGTACAGTCATGGGCTTTCCTCGTCAGAAATGGAGGCTCTAAGCAGTGTTTGTGAAACCCTTTTGCCTCCTCTGCCTTTGAATTCTCTTAAAATTCCAGAAAGGAGTGATCTTGATGGAGCCCAATCCGCCATTGATGAATTCTCTAAAGCTTCTGGCGCTCAGTACCCTATTCCAGATGAGGTTAGAACACTTTTCTTTTTTTAATTTTCAATTCTTTTAAATATTTCCTTGATTTTGGAATTTTTGATTCTCTGTTCTGGGAAATGATCAGTAATTGGTGTGTGAATTGAAGGTGGCAGAGATGGCTATGAAAAGGGGGTTCCTGGAAGCTGTGATTTTGTTGAGAGGGTTGTTGATGTTCCTTTCAACCAGATTAGGGACCTTTCTGATTTGTGGGTTCCTCTGTGTTGATAGCAAATGGCCTTTCATTAACAAATTCTCTCACATTCCTCTGGAGAAGAGAGTGTCAGTGATTCAGGGATGGCTGAAAAGCAGCTTTCTTACCCCTGTCAGATTGGCTTTTGTGTTCCTCAAATTCTTGTGTCTTTATGTCTTCTTCACCCGGGTATTTCTCTTGCGCCTTACACAACTGTTTGGTAAATGTTAATTGGGCTATTTGATTGTTCCAAAGATTGAATCCCCATCTCCAACCTCCTTGCTATGACTCGATTGTAAATATAAAAATTATTAATCATGGTAATTCGGCTAAAAACAATGGCTGAGTTATTGGACTGTTTAAAAAATTGTTTGAAATCGTATATTTACTTCTTCATCATTCTGTTGTGTCGGGGTCTGTGAACACCAAGGGTGCGTGGTTCCATCTTTTTTTGGATTGTTGGTAATTGTTATTGGGCTAAATGAATTAATCGGATGTATTTTCTTTAAAAACTTTTAGGAAAATCCTTTTCAACAAAATAAGAAAATAAAATTTACTGATTCTCGATTTATAAGTTGGTTATGGTTATTATTAGAGTGTTTCATATATCACTAAGAGAGATAAATTAATAAACAACTACATTAAGATTTCGGATCACTCCTTTTATGAGGTCACCTTTTAGGATGAAAATTTAAGTCTTATATGGTATTAAAGTAAAACCAGTTTATAACCATTGTGTGGGCCCATATAGAAATTGACAATGAATATGAAAAACTAACAATGATTATGACGATCTAATGAAAAGAATAATACTATCGTATATGACATGATCTAGACAAAGTCAAAGATAGTGTCTTTGACCGGTCGTGAAAGGGGGCGTTGAAGTATTTCACACTAGCAAATGATGAATTAATAGACTACTCCCTCCGTCCAGCTAAGATTTTTCCCATATTTTCTATTCGCACCGTTCTAATAAGATTGTCTCATGTCGCCTCCTCATGTCCAAATTTGGAAAAATTCGTTTGGTTCTAAAACACATAAATCCACTTTCTTAATAAAGATCTCTTATTAAGATTGTCTCATGTCGTCTCCTCGTGTCTCAATGTTAATGGGACAGAAGTAGTACTACATAAACTGTAAAGATCTCTTATTACTCCTATCATGTTGATCATTTAGAATTGTTAATGGGACAGAAGTAGTACTACATAAACTATAAAGATCTCTTATTACTCCTATCATGTTGATCTTTTAGAATAAAATCTCAAATGCTAATCGTTACCATAGGAGCCTTGGATACTTGGAAAGTAGGGTCCTTAGAAAGTTCGAATCAATGTTCGTTCTATAATTGTAGTTGGGATTTTTAATTTTTGTTTTAATATACTCCGTATTTTGCAATGCATATTATATACTACAGTACGAAGTATATCGTAACATCAAGTTCTAGAAGATTTGCCATATTATATATTGTCTTCTCAAAACACACCCAAACTGCTAACCTGTTCAAATATGTTTAATAGTGAGTTTGGTTGCCATTACAGTATACTCCAACCGTTTCAAGAAACTCATCCTAATAGAGTTTTAATAGCGCTAAGAAAAAATAGAGTTTTTAGATACTAGTGTAATACCGCATTGTAGAAGCTTTTTGTAAGGTCCATTTCAAAAAATATGTAGTGACATTGAAATCACATGAAAAGAAAAACGAAACACGTATTTTGGGATCAAAAGTATTCATCTTTAACAATAAATTGGCATTTATTGTTAGTAGCCACAAGGCTTCCCATCTTAGCCAATAATCTTTTCCCTTCCTTTAATGGAAAGCGTGTTATTATTAGGTAGGCAAAAAAGGAAAGTTATAGATAGATGTCGTTTGTCAAAATAAGTATGAGCATCGGTAGTATGTTCTGCCAAACACTCCCAATGAAATTAATGCCCATATTGCTGTTTTTAGCTACACCTTTTAAGCGAATGAACCCGTAAGGCCAAATAGGAGTCATTTGAGGGGTGGATGAATCTAAATAATTTATGAAAGAAGAAAATATTTAGCGTCATCCATCTATTAACCAAATATGTTACAAAATACTTGTTCTTCTAAGAATAAGCCAGAATTTTAACTTGGTAGCTAGATGAATACATAAATCCCATAATTGTCTTTTATTTTTATCATAGGTGGGTGAAGACTCAAAGAATCCAGCATGGGAAGCCATGGGATACCAAGTGGATAACTATGCTGAGAACTTGTCTCAGAAGAAATCAGAGGAAGAAAGACCTCTTCAGATGGGGATAGTGGAAACTGAAAACGAAAACGAATCAACTTTGGTCAATTCTCTTCTCCAAAAAGGACTAAAAGCGACAAAAGATCCCATACAAAATCACATAAATATCGAGTGTGATGTTGTAATCGTTGGCTCGGGCTGTGGTGGGGCAGTGGCTGCAGCCATTCTTGCAGGCTCAGGCCAGAAAGTGTTAGTTCTTGAAAAAGGAAACTATTTTACCAAATCTGATTATTCATCTCTGGAAGGCCCCTCATTGAACGAGTTATATGAAAATGGAGGGATCCTCTCAACCATTGACGGAAAGGTGGTGGTTATGGCAGGTTCAACCGTGGGCGGTGGCTCTGCCGTTAACTGGTCAGCCTGCATTAAAACCCCCATCTCGACAATCCAAGAATGGTCCAAGAATCACAAAATCTCACTCTTTTCAAGCCCCGAGTACAATTCTGCCATGGATAAAGTTTGTGAAAGAATCGGCGTAACGGAGGGTTGTTCTAATGAAGGATTCCAGAACAAGATTCTCAGGAAAGGGTGTGAGAACCTCAGTCTCGAAGTCGAACTCGTCCCACGAAACTCTTCCCCAAGTCACGATTGTGGGTCCTGCTGTTATGGTTGTAGAAGGGGGGACAAGAAGGGCACTGATGTCAATTGGCTAGTTGATGCCGTGAAATGTGGGGCCGTGATCTTAACAGGCTGCAAAGCCCAGAGGTTTTTACTTCAAAAGAGCGGGAAAACACGGGACAAGAAGTGTATGGGAGTGATAGCAACTACCGTGAACAGTGCAAAGACGATATGCATCAAGGCTAAGGTCACTATCTCGGCAGGTGGGTCACTTAGAACGCCTCCCCTTATGCTCACAAGTGGATTAACAAACCCGAACATAGGACGGAATCTCCACCTCCACCCGGTTTTAATGGCGTGGGGGTACTTCCCGGAGTCCAATACAGAGGTCAAGGGGAAAAACTACGAGGGAGGGATAATTACGTCTGTGCATAAAGTTGGAAATGGTGAATCTAATGTGCGAGCCATCATAGAAGCTCCCATCCTAGGGCCAGGGTCGTTTGCCACACTTCTCCCGTGGAAGTCTGGTTTGGACATAAAGGAAACAATGCTCAAGTATTCAAGAACTGCACATTTGTTCGCAATGGTAATTAATTATTCTTGTTTTTTTTTAATATTTACATTTTTATTCTTTACTTATCAATCATTGGTTTATATTAACTCCATTCCATTGACATCAAATCCTACACTTAGGAGAGTGTCATTGTGTTTCTTTCTACCTGAATTTATAGCGTTAAGTAAATTCTACATTTCTACCTGAATTTAACGACATACATTAGTTATGTGAACAACTCACCTGACTTTTTAGCTTCTAATTTTGTTTATAAAAATTATTGTATTTAATATCAGTTTTGTGGTTCAACAGAACTTTTGAAGTAACTTCTAAATATCAAAAAGTTATTGACACCAAATTATACGTAGTATATCATCTTGAAAAAATTAATTTTATCATCGGTAAAACCCAAATTAGGATGGAGGGAGACAGGGAGTATGATTTTTGTTGATGATTAGTAGTTAATATTAACAGGTCAAAGACAAAGGGACCGGAGAAGTGAGATCTGAAGGAAGGATAAGCTACACATTTGATGCGTTGGATAAGGAAAATCTAACGGTTGGGATACGCCAAACATTGAGGATTTTAATAGCAGCAGGAGCGGTTGAGGTGGGGACACACCTGAGTAACGGCCAGAAAGTTGAGTGTAAAGGAAAGAGTGAAGAGGAGTTGGAGGCATTTTTAGACACAGTAATAGCAGCCGAGGGCCCAAAATCAATGGTGAAGGACTTTAGTATCTATTCTTCTGCCCATCAAATGGGGAGCTGTAGAATGGGGACCAGCGCTAAGGAAGGAGCAGTTGACGAGAATGGAGAGAGCTGGGAAGCGGAGGGGCTCTTTGTCTGTGATGCCAGTGTACTTCCTGGTGCTGTTGGTGTTAACCCCATGATCACCATCCAGGCAACAGCATATTGCCTCTCCAAACGGATCACAGAAATGTTAAAGGAAGGAAAGTTCTAAAAGTATATTACAATATCATGCAGAAATCATATCACCATCGACTATACAGTCTAAGATTTTAAAAATTCAATAGCTAAGATTGTGTTATAATGATCTTTACAGTTTAGCACATCCAGAACTCAACTTCATGGTATTTACATGTGGATAATAAAAATAGAGTTTATTCAACAATGAGAATACTTTTATCAGCAATCAGAGTCTGTTTCGCGAAATGGCAATGGCACTGCCTTCACTGCTCTAAACCTTCCAACATTGTTCAAATGTTCATTCTCCAACCTGTTAAATATATACCCCATGTCTCATCATAAGTATTTCTCCGACGAATCAATGAAAGAGCCAAATATTAGTGTTGGGGTTCACAAGTACAAAACAGAGCCAAATATTTGAGACAAGATGCTCCTATTACTATACATATATAGATTGCAAGAGACTTAGGAAGCTAAAAAAGCCACTCAAAACAAGATCTTACAGTCTTTCCTGGACTATTTAGATTGAGGCTAATACTATTATATTTTGTTGAGTACATCACTTCTATTATGGCATAAACATATATGATATGTACCTGTAGAAGTTCCAGTGTCCTCGCCTAATAATCTCCAGTGAAGCCAAAGAAAAGTCGAGCAAGCGTGACTCGAAAACTCCAACATTGAAACGCATCACTGTCTCCACCCACGCCAGTCGCAAGACAAAATTCAGGGCCTAAGGTTGTTAACAATAACCCGGCTTAGATTTCTATGAGCAAATTGTGAGTTATCTTTATATCATCCTAAAATACCAGTCCTTAAAAAATAAAAGTAGCTAATACTCCCACCATTAAAAAATAGATACTGTTTTCTTAGAATTTTCTAGGATTCTATGAGTTACCTAGATACAGTAGTCATAATATGAGTTATCTTTATTTTCTACGAATTATATGGCTACTGTTTTCATGAAAAATAACAAAATGTATAATTTGATGAAATGTGTTATATTTTACATTTTTAGCTTCTATTTATGGAATGTTCCTAAAAATCTCAACTTAGTTAACACCCTATTAGGTCAATCCAATCTTTAGTGTCATCTCCTCATTTTTCCACTTATAGTGCATGTCAATAATTACCACATTGTTTCAATCTGGACAAAGCTAAAAATACTCAGTCATTGGAGATGAAAAATGATAAAGCAGAGAAACAATTTCATAGAGGGGAAGAACTTACAATTGAAAAATAGTAAATGATTTTATTCTTGAGAATCAAATCATCCCTAAGCAAAGTGTTCTTGCAATTGAGGTTGAAAAATCCCCAATCCTTGACAAAGTCCCAATACAACTGGTAAGTGGTGGCTATGATTGAAGTGAGCAGCACAATAGCCAGCCATAGCTGCGATTCCGGTTGTCCGGCGAACGTCAGCCTCGCGCCGGCGGCCACCATGGCCGATAGGTACTTCCCGAAGTTAGCGAGGTGGTTCGCGTCGCCTTCATCCAACCACCGCCTCGCGCACTGGGCTGCCCGCCAATAGTATGGCGCGAAGGAGATGACGTAAGCAAGCTCCGTGTACATCCGTCCGGATTTGCAGGTCTCATATTTGTGTGTCTTGAAGCTCCCTGCAAGGAAGTAGCAGGCTGTGGATTCCATGTGCCTCAACAAGGGGATCTACAGTAAAAAAATAAGAATGAATTGTTATTGCAACCATAAAAGGCACTTTTTCACAAACATTAGTAAATTAAATAAAAAAACAAAAATATAAGTTATTTTAAAATTTTCCAAAAAACTGACATTTTAATTACTAGTACACACTCCCTCCGTCCCGAAAAGGTTGGCCAAAGTTGATTTTCACGTGAATTAATAAAGTAAAAACTGTGTGTTTCAAATTTGTGGAGAGAAGAGAGAATTAATTTTAGTCACATATTTCTTACTTTAAATGGAAATGAAAAATCTTTTTGGGACGTCCAAACAAGGAAATTTGGCCAACCTTTTCGAGACGGAGAGAGTAGTAATTTGTCATTTATGGTGATTCTCGTCATTATAAAGCACACTATAGTGAATAGTTCACAATGACTCGTATATAGCGACTAACTATATTTTTGTTCAAAACACAACTAGTCATATGTTATCTATGAAAACTTTATTAGTTATATACATGTCATTTTTACTAAGTAGAATTCAAAGTATAAATTTTCTCAAAAAAAATTCTAGCTATTGATAAAAATTCTCCAAATACTCCGGTGGCTTATAACAACTGGCAACTGACTTATAATATTTAGGAGTCAGTGAAACATTTTGATAATTTTTTCTCCATAGTTGAGATTATTTTGAGATAAATGATTCTTTGAATTATTCCAAATATATCACTAGCAATTGGAATTATTTTTGTGCATTTTTCCTATTTTGTCAAGGTCTTGTATACTTTTGAGAAGGCTTATGAAATGGTTAAAAAGAAATATGGAGTTTAGATCATACTATGCTCTGTTTTTTTAGTTGCAATATAGAAAATTTTATGTTATTCATGTGTTTTATTTTGACTACTTTTATTTATTATTGTATTAGAATTATAATTTTTTTGAAAAATATTGTTAAAATAAATTTTTTGATTTTTAGTTTATACTAATAGAAAGCTAAATATAATGATAGTTAAAGTTGTGTCTTGAAAGGCATGAAAATAAGAGTGTTACAAGTAAATATGTTGCAGTGTTATGGTGTGTATAAACATACGAATAACTATGAAACTTTAGTCTTGAGTTTGAAAACCTCAAGATGCGAATAACCCACTCTTTGGCTGGTACTACTTGTTGTGATAATAGATTTAATTAGAATGTGGCTTAAGTGGGTGACACACTGACACAATTGGGTCAACATAAGTAATGGTTAGGACTCATTTATTACTTACCCCAATATATAGTACATCTTAGATCCTTACACATGAAAATGAAGGTATATATACCTGACTAGTAAGTTGGTCTGCCATGAAGAAGTCTACCATCAAAACCTGTACAATTAGCTAGTAATCATCAATCAAAGACTTAAAGAACCATTCCTTTTTAATTGCATTAGTTCATTACTTGTTGAATATGATATAGTATATGCTACAACGACATGAATATAGTGTTCAACAAAAGTACCTTGTAAAAAGGAGAGCAAATTATGTTTCGAATCACTCTAAGGAAACATACGCGCGTTGGGCGGTAAAGTATGTTGAATGGACAAAAAAGCATTCCTATAAGACACTGACAAAGTAAATTCAAATTATGAACCAATTACAAATTGAGAGAGCAAGAAATATGTATCGCAACAACGACATCAAGATATACCATGCATATACTATAATACAATCAATTTTTTAGTTCACTTTTTCCAAAAAAATAATGACCATTACAATTTTAATGTTCAAATTAGTAATAGGGTCAAATTTTGACTTTAATAGTTAACGGGTAATACTTTATCATGAAATTATTTTAAAAAGGTTGTATATAATATGATATATGTATAAGAAGAAGAATTACTTCTATCGTCTATGTTTGGGTTCTCACACTACTTATTTCGTCAATTTAACTCTTTTCTTATCTCTCAATTTTATAGATTAATGTGTTATCATATTCAACATTCTTTTTTGGGAATCAATAGAACGTATAGTACAGTTCTGAATATATAGATTCTAACTATTGATACTCATTAATATGTACTCCATATATTATTAGGAAATTGTTATCTTTGTCATGAGTCAATTATTATTTTTATTATTACTACTCAACAAATGAGTTTATTCAACTAGTTAAAACATGTATAGTGAAAGAGTTATATGATGACTAACCAGAATGAGAATGCCAGGAATGACATCGACTTGATTAGAGGTAAATCCTTTGGATAAGAGAATGAGATGGACGACCATAGCTCCAACAGCAATAGTCATCAAGGAGGTGCAGATAAGGAAAGCATCTCTGTATTTTAAGGCTGTTTTTGGTTGTAGATCGAAAATAAAGTTTACATTGATCCGCGTGTTCTTCCACAGAAACAGATTACACCCGTACAAAAACACATGCAAGCTTAATAAGGCAAACATGCTGCAGTTCACAAAATAAAATTATTACAATTATTAGTATTATTAGAACTACTACTAATACTGCTATTACTACGTGTTACTAACACCACAACTAAAAGAATTTCTTATTTTTAGTTATGGGGTTTCATATAACAAACTTGTTTCAAATTTGATCGTTCAAACTCTTCTCTTATACATACAAAATAATACTGATGATGGACCTACATTATTGTAGTGGTTTCAATTGCCACAATTCAATTTTTATTCATTATAAACATATAGGTATTATCTTGAATAGGGGCCGCGGAGAACTTGTGGGTGTAGTATCAGGATTTAGGACCTACATCCATGACATTGCACAAGTGTGTGAGATCTTCTATATATAAGTACCATTTGTAATGTAAAAGGAATTTTCCCTACACTTTCTATTGTCACGAAATTTTGTTGTTACAATGACAAATTCATTACATTTTCTCTATCTAGAAATTGATCACTATTTATCCTACTCAGGATCCTGTAGCAGCCCTTCTTGTATATTTTTATTTATGAATTTCATACCACAAGTATGAAAACAAGGAACATAAAAATAATACACACACATATAGTGTGCGGTTCAAATAAGAAAATGCTTAACGTGAAAAGTGAAAATGTTTCAATTTTACTTTACACAACACTTTTCAATTTAAATATTGCGCTTTTTCGTGGTGAAGAAAACATTTACATATTTATAAAAATGTCATTACATTTTTAATCAAATCTAATGCATTGTTGTCAAATCTAGATAGTGTCAAATCCAATCATTAAATTTCATTCACAATTTTTACAGTAATACTTCTTTTTATTTGATTCAAAACAATAGCAATAGCAATAGCAATAGCAATAGCAATAGCAATAGCAATAGCAATAGCAATAGCAATAGCAATAGCAATAGCAATAGCAATAGCAATAACAATAGCAATAACAATAACAATAACAATAACAATAACAATAACAATAACAATAACAATAACAATAACAATAACAATAACAATAACAATAACAATAACAATAACAATAACAATAACAATAACAATAACAATAACAATAACAATAACAATAACAATAACAATAACAATAACAATAACAATAACAATAACAATAACAATAACAATAACAATAACAATAATAACATAATGTATGCGTCACATGGTATGTGTAAACTAAAGTGACAAAATATGCCCATTTTTACCTGAAAACTGGGTAGACTGTTTCAACATAGCCGGCTTCTGTTCCAGTGGAAAACATACCACTCAAATGTGCCAATATACCATACACTCCAAATAAGGTGACAAAACATCCCGTGAATAACCCTACATAATGCAATATAATCTCATTAACTATCTAAGAAAAAATTCACTCCATAATTTTACATATAAATATACAACACATTGACTATAACTTACTCCGTAATTCTTATTTCTTACCAGAAAAAAATGTTATCATATGAGATTCTTTTGGTCGTTGTGGTCGCAAGAACTTCATTGCCTTTTTCCGTTCATTTTTAGCAAAGTGCTGAGTGAATAAGGACTCCACTTCATCTATTAGTCTAACCACCTTCACAAAATACGTAATGGTAATTTTTTGCAGAAAACTAATTACAAAAAATAGTGACACTAATAAATAATGATGACAATAAAAATATTTTAATAGAATAATTACAACCAAATTCTCATCCGCAAATGACACACTAACAAGTAATAACACTCATGTACAATTTGTGTTATTAGGGAATTTGACTTTCACATTATAGTTTAGGCAACAAAATTAGACTTTATATTGCATTTTCGGAAGAAAAAAAATGTGCCACCTCATTTTATAACAAAAGATTAATCGTTGCACCCCCATTCATTGACAAATATTTGAATTGGTGATAGTAAATAATTCGATGCAAAGTTCAATATGATTCAAAATATGAGATGTAAAGTCAAATGAATCGTTCATTTTTTCTTATTGTGAAAAAAATGAAGTACAAACTAATATAAACTTAAAATGGTTTTAAATCTGAATGGATTTGTTAAATGAAAAAAAAAACAAATAGTGATGCATGTACTCTAAAGCTTTTTTTTTTCAATTTACAATTTTATCAATCTAAAACTTTCAAGTAAGAGTTATAAAGTTAGGCAATTATTTAATTAGCACACCAACACATAATTTTAATATATAAAAGATTTTGGTGCAATATATGATAGAGGTAATTTCATATAAAAGATAGAGACCATTGTGATGAGACACAATGATTTACACTACTCAGTCAATATAATCCATAACAGTTGGTGTGCTCACTAAAGTGTTGTGTATAAGTTAGTTAGTTAATAATCAATAAATAAATTGGAATGATAAATAAATATCAGACTAGTATTCTCGAGTACAATTCAAAGATAAATTAAACTTGGAAATACAAGAACAACAAGAACTCGACGATTTGTACAATAAAAAAATGATTTGAACAAAATTTCAATTTTCTTGAATTGCTAGTATGATAAGGTTTGAACTTCCAAATTCGGTTTGTATAGATCGATCTCGTCCATTTAAGTCTTGTTAGATTTTTGTGTGATGTTAAAATCTAATTAATCTTGATATATGAGTGATCTCAACAGTTAAAGATTATTTATATGTTACTATTACCTCCATTTCATTATTACCAACTTTATGTTGACTCATTTTCATTTTCATTTACCCCAGTGCCGCAAAGGCTCCCACCTATGGTGGGGTAAAGGGGGGTCGGATGTACGCAGTCTTACCTCTGTACTAAAGCACAGAGAGACAAATATATGCATTTTTTCATCATTTACCCCAGTGCCGCAAAGGCTCCCACCTAGATTTATGTTGACTGTGAAATAAAAAAATTAAAAACTTTGATGTTGAAGTTTAGAGAAATTAGCTAAACTATAATTTCGTAACTTTAAAAAGAAAATGATAATCTTTTTGGGATAAACGAAAAGAAAAGCTGACAAAATTCAATAGAACATAGAGAGTATATCATTTAATGCATTCATAGTTTAACAAGTTCTTTTAATTATTAACTTACTAACAATTTATACCTCTAATAAATAAGTTTGGCCACATGAAATGGTTTTCTTAGGTATCATTCTCTCGAAAAAGTCCACTCAAAGATAAGAGCCGTTTTCAATACAATATTTTTTTTGTCGAAAATAGTCATTTCAATTTTCAATTAGATATAATTTAATTTAAACAATTTATTCATGTAATTTTTGGCTATGACCGTTATTAGTGCTGTAATATTATCTGCTTGCAAATTTGGTCCTGCAAGTAATAAATCATTTCAATTTAAGAACATTTCCACTAAAAGAATACTTTTGAATGATAATCCGACGTAAACAACATCATTTCCGGTATATTTTTTTTTTCCTACAAACTCTAGTTTTCAAGAAAAAGTTCTTTAATTGTAAACATTTAGTAATTATTAGACCAAAATTGCAAGTGTTAAAATTGCAAGACTAATAATTGAAACATCCCAAAGTTAGAAGACTAAAATTGAAGCTTTCCCTAAATATATGACATGATATATATACAATGGCATATCCAGAAATATTGATCAGGGGTCGACTTTGTATTTCAATACTATGTCATACACATCATGTATATAAACAATTCAATGAATAGTACAAGCTACTATCTCCGCCCCCCTAAAATTGGGACCCGAGAAAAAGTAAAAATGTGTGGTTGATATTGAATTAATAAAATGTGAATAAACTAAAAATGAATTGTAACCTCTCAAATATTACAAAAATATTACGGGGGGGGGGGGGGGGGGGGGTGGAGGGAGTAAAATTTAACTGAATTATTCACTCTACAGAATATTATGCTACTATACTTTTCTTTTCACCAAAAAATTATCATCATTGTTTATGAATAAAACATTTCATGGTTGATATAATTTCAATTTCATGAAACAAGTTGTAATCACACAATTATTTGTATATTAAAAATATTTTGCTAATAAATTAATGAATAAAATAAGTTACAAATAAAGTGTGTAATAAAAATTAATGTAAGTAGAAATTAATAAGTTGTAAAAAACAGCTTATATTATATGTAAGGATGTAATTGTAACTTGTAAGTATTTATTTGTGATACAGAAAGATAAAATTTTGATTATTTTAAAGTAGTTTAAAATGTTTAAACAGAGCAAAAGTTAACATGCAAAGTTATATTAATGCTTAAAGCATACGAAAAGAAAACTAAACATACTAAAAGAAAATAAAAGTAAAAAATGATTTAAAAGTAAAAATAGGAAACCAAAGAAAAAAACGCAGTATGACATGATAATTGAAACTCTGTATGTAATTGACTATAGTTAAACGATTCATAATTGACATATAATATGAATAAACTATATGAATTTGTGTTGGGTTTTTTCCCGTTGTATGCGATTTCAATTAAAGGTCTTTTTGTCTAGGTGATTGAAATTTTCATAAGCACACTTTTATTATCCTATTGATTAGAAATTGACTAAAATGTCATAGAATATTTAAGTGTAAATCTAAATAAAAGATGAAAAGTATAAAATAAATTGGAAAACTTTCATTATAATTGAAAAAATGGAAGCAAATTATGCAAAAATTATGTGTCTCTATTTTACCTTATCAGAACTAACGAAATATGACATCTTCACTTTCTTGAGATAACATGTAGATGTCTCCTGCTTAGATACCTGGATCACATCATTTCATAAGTCTAAATGTAGTAAAATATACAAAATAATTAAAAGTTATCAAAAAACAAACAAATTCAATTCATCTAGTAATTAATGCGGTGTTCTACCAACACAATTATCAAGTCTAATCATTCGATTTATGTTCATCAGACAACTCAAAGTTTAGAGGATGATCTGCAAACTCAGTCCCAGTATTATCAATTACGTTGTTATGTTACAGTAGTCAATGAGTTAGAATGATTGGTGTTACACAATTGTTACACATACTGATACGTGCAGTATGAACATAGGTGTAATAATGAATTTCTTCTTAATAGTTGGTTTCCATTTATTAATAGTTTGTTAAAATTTGTTTAAATATTTGCGGTTAAATATTTATAGTTTGGCATTATATTTTTAAGTGATTGTGGTTTAACGATCAAGAATGATAATAATTAAGTATTTTTACTTATTAACGATTAACCGGTAACATACAAGAATTGCACCGAGATACTATTTGTTCTTCAACAAATTCTAGAACCAAACCAACGATATTGAATTAACAGTTATTCAAATGGTTCCTAATTTTCCTTCAAAGAACCGAATCTATCTCATCACACTTTTTCTTCCTAAAGTGATTAATAAAAAATTAACTTTTAATTAACTAATATTGCTTGACTATGTGTTTACATCTGATCATGGTGAATTGAATTTTATGTCTTGACCGTGTAAAGTTGACCAGAACCTTGATATGTGACAGATTGAGTACAAGTTAATAGTAATAAACTGTATTCATCAAGAACTCGTATTATGGAATCAACAATAATTCTATTTTAATTGGATGAGTTAGACAATGAACTAAATAATAATCTATATTATAGTGATAAAACACACTCCGTATAAAATTACTTAATTACCTAACAAGAATCAAATATGTAGTATAGAAATACTCATTTTGAAGCACTTAAAATTCCATGTAAGCCTTATTTTAATTATCACATAGTGTCTAGTGTAGTTAATATGTGTACCAATCATATATTACTTAGACTTGTAAGAAATGTGTATAATAACAATAACAACGACATATATAGCACTAATAGTAATAATGGTAATGATGGTGATGATGATGATGATAAAGATAAGAATAATAATGTTAATGATAATGATAAAAATAATAGTGATAATAGTAATACAAACAATAATAAATTCATAATGATGGTGAGGGCAATGGGGTGGGACCATGGGGTGTTGAATAAAAATATTTAATGGGAGACATAATAGCATACTTCATACACATGCCTACCTTATCAAATTTCTTAAGGATCTTCACAAAAGCCACCATGTTGAGAGAGCTGCCAAATCAGGATAACATCAAATGAGTAAATCATAAAAGATGATGTTAATTATGATTTACAATATGTTGATAGAGCTAAGTTTTTTTTTTTGCCTGGTAAGTTTCCAAAACCCATGGTTTTGGGGTGAGGGCCAGGAAATACCTCACCAATTTATTAGAAGAAAAGGAGGTTACAAGGAGTAGGAGGGCTATACCAAAGCCTACTCAGAGTTAAGTTCTTTAAAGCTTCACTTCCCCTAAAAAAAACCATTTCCAAAACTGCTCCTATCTACCCTAAAAGAAGGAAGAGCCAAACACATATATACAAGAAACCATGAAGACTACTATTCCTATTATTTGTTTCGATATGGGGTTCCCCCTTTCACGCTATATATATATATATATATATATATATATATATATATATATATATATATATATATATATATATATATATATATATATATCTTTCGTCATTTGTCAATATTCAAAGTGTGCATGTTTCATTTTAGAATAATTTTTTTATATACAAATGCATGATTTCCATTTTTAAGTGGGCTAATACAATGTAATGATTTCTGATTTCTTAATTAACACACTTCTAATGCACATTATGTTTAGAGTGAAGTTGTTGATATAATCTTTGAGTTCAATGCGATTAAAATGAAGTGATTTAAAATTTAAGATATTTCCCTTTGAGGCATTTGACACAAGAAGAAATGAGAAACAATTGAGGTTTTTATTTGAAGCGATGTCAAATGTATCTATGAATGGATTATGATAAGAGTAGTTATCAGCCGAACTTCGACTCCCGATAATATAAACTAAATCTAATTAAAGATTTTAATTGAAACAAATACCATGGAGTTAAAGTTTATGAGTTTTATTAATGAAACATGAATTATGATGGAGACTCGTTAGAAAGGGAACAACAATATTCCAATGACCTAACATCCGCCTAGAAATATTTCTTGAAGCTTAAAAAAAGAATAAATATTGCTCGAACAATAATTGATAGGATCTTCGTTTAAAAAAACTCATATGATCTTCAACTAAGACTGGGAGAGAGCGATGATGTAAAGTTGATACTTGATAGATTGTCATTCAATTCGTTGAAAATTGTCCTATAACCTTTCATATTGCACTTGTGAAAATTGTGAAAAGAAGTACTCAAAATATCAAAAGAACAAAACATGAAAAATAGATTTACTCTAACAATAATAGACAAAACATCATAGAATTTGAGAATGAACTAAAAAGCCATTGATTCTTCATAATCAAGTTCTATACCTTTTGTAAAGCAAAAATTGTTAACATTGACCCTCATATTCTATACAAAAAGTCAATTAGGCTCTCATACATACTTTACTTTAATCAATTACGTACTTTTATTACGTAATTTTCTTCAAAACTGATTTTTGACAGGTAACTCGCCAGTCAACAGATTACTTGCTCATAGGAGCGCACATGTGGCCTAACACGGCGCACACATCGCGGCCCACACCATTTTTCTACTTTTTTCCTTTTCCTTTTCTCCCTTTCTTTTTCCTTTTCCTTTTCTCCCTTTCTTTTTCCTTTTCCTTTTATTGTTTCTTTCTTTCTCTTGAACTTTATAGAACATCACTTTCCTATGGATTGATGTGACATGTTATTTTGTATGTATCTATTTCTACAAATGGCACTTGTATACATATAAGTACGTTAAGCCCAATCACATGCCTTGTGCACATGATCAATTATATTATAACATTATAATTCAATAATTCAAACATAAACAATTAATTTATTACTCGTTTGGATCAATAACATGCATTTTGGTACAACACTCACTTATTTATGGGAAATCATATTATTCACCTATCATTTATAATTAAGTGAAAAAAAAGATGAGAAACTATGGCCAAAATCAAACCTGTATGTTTTTAGTAATCCAAGCCCACGGTAGAGTTCCACAAAAGCCTTTCTAATCATCTTTTCAGCACATTGGATTTTCCTATTATTCACATATTCTCTTTCACCTTCTTTGATGGGGTTGTTGAGAAAATCTTCCAAAACCATTGATGTGATGGTGGAGATGGCCCGTGTTGGGGTGGTGGCTGGAATCTCAATTCTTACTCCCATCTTTGGCTTCCACTTGTTAGATTTTCCCCTATTTGTCAAAGTGTGAACAAAGCCTATTCCGTTCCTTTCTAGTGCGCTGATCACATTGTCTGTCTCCGATGTTGTGTTGTCTTCCATTGTTGGACTAACACAACATTCGTTCCGGTTCTCTGTGTTTTATATTTTATAAATTCAATTTCAAAGGTACATATTAAAAGAATGCCCAAATCCTAAAACAAGCAATAGTGACATTTATAAACTAATATTACCCCCGTCTCATTTTGTAAGATATATATACTTTCCTTTTCGGATTGTCCCAAAAATATAATACCTTAAATTGGACTCCACTAACTTTCTACTTTCCTACTTCATCGCTTTATGTATCATTTAATTTCATCTTTTGTTTTTTTATCATTCATCCATTGCTTTTTGCGAACCCATATTTCACTTTCTTACGTTTTGAAGGTTACATTTGTAAAACAATCTTTATCATTTTTTTCCCTAAAACCCTGATAAGCACAATAATTACCTATATTTTATATAGGTAATTATGATTACTGTACAAACATTCAAAGATAAAACAGGTAAAAATCCCAAATTGACCAAACTGCACTTATGCGTCAAAAATGAAGAAACGGGAGTCAACGGGAAAAAGGGACCAAGAACTGGCACTTCATGGTCAACAATGGGCGTCAAACGGAGCGAAAAACGGAGTAATACAAAAAATGGGGATAACCGGCGTTGGTCTGCCCTTATAACCGGCGCTGTTCCATTGATTTTCGCACAAAGGTCACTATCCAGTACCCTAACCGGCGCCAGGTTGCCCTCATATTCGGCACCAGTTAGGCCTTTTTCCTAGTTTTCCCTGAGCGCAATGAAGAACCGGTGCCAGTCAGACTTGAAACCGGCGCCGGTTAGGTCCGATTCTGCAGAATACAAAGAGACATGCAAGCATATTTTGATGGGAAAAACCACTTTCCTTATGATCTGATCAAATATTTCATCGATGCCTAATTGTTGGGCTCTTATAGGCTAAAAGATGTCAATCTTTAGCCTATATAAAACCCTTAATTCATCGAACAAGATCAACAATCCATCCTTAAAGCATAAATTTCAGTTTTTATATTTTATTTTTGCATTCTCTTGAAGTGTTGGAGAAGAAGTCATTTCCATCCTCTACAATTGGTTCTAGGTATGATTTCTTGTATGTTATTGCATTTCCTTGTTCTTAGTTACTCTTTTGTAATTAGTATGAGCTAGGGCTGGGCGCGGGCCGGGCCGGGTAATGAAAAATAAAATGGAACTGTCGGTTCCATTGTACGATCGGTCCGGTCTGAGTATTGCAATTTTGGAAATAGGAACAGGACCCTACCCGACGCGTTTGAAACGGGTCGGTCCGCTCCGGGTTTTCGGTTCCAGTTTGTATTTCTTAAAAGTAGTAACAACTTACAAAGTTGTTAATATCTTAGCCATTCTGAATCTGCTAAATGCTAAATGCTACCCGTTCTGTATCTATAATTCTCGGTATCTATATTCTCAAGTATTTAAAAGTTAAAACTAGCCAAATGGTTGTGTTGATTCACTCTCACCTAATTAATATATTTCCTTACCAATAACAAAGTCATATTTTACGGTTAATAAAGTAGATGCTACATGTAACAAGAATAACAATAAGTTATAATATTTTACGGTAGAGGCGTAACTCCTCTAGAGCAACTCAGTTAAGGGCAAACCGCGTAATGGGCTAAGTTGACACTGTTTTAGCGCTTAACAAATAGAAATTACGTATGTAACGGGCCGGGTACCCGGAACTTTCATATTTAGGAACCATCCCGGACCGGAAAAAATTAATACCCACCCCTACCTGGACCGTTTTGTAGTATAAAAAATTGGAACCGGCCCGTTTTGGACCCGAACTGCCATTACCCGGACCGGACCACGATTCCATACCCGTTTGCCCACCCGTAGTATGAGCTCAAGGAGCTAAGTTCTTAGTTAAAGCTAGGGATGAACTTCTATGCCAACTAGAGAGAGAGAGGAATGATCATGTTCTTCCTCAAGTCTAATTTATTCACACCCAATTTTAGCTTAAATTACAATTGGGAAGACAATTAAATAAATTTTGGAAAATAACTAGGTTTTATATGTATATTTTAGCGCATTTATATTCAAAAAATTATTTGACTATCTTCTCGATAAAATTTTAAGTTGAAATTTGGTATGGATAGACTAGACTTGATGAAGAGTCATGTGGCAAGTCTACTCTGTATTATTATTATTTAACTTTAACTGTTCTAACTTTTTTATTCTAATCCGATATTTAAAACATTTTTTTTTTGCCAAAAGAAAGACCACTGATCTAATAAAACAGATTCCTCAGATGAAATATAAACAAAAACACGCGGTAAAATTTTAAACACGAGAAAGATCAAATTCGGCATTATGATGACATGTGAATATCATACTCGCCACTAAGGTTTCACGTGGACCAAATTGAATATTACGTAGTATGATTATATGTGAATCTTATATTGACCACTAAAGTTTCATGGTCCGTTGTTTTTGGACAATCACATATGAATCTTTTCTTTCGTTAATAAATAGAAAGAATGAAAAGAAATATTAGTCATATACCTTTAAAAAACAAAAATATGACTACTTTTTATTTTTCCAAAAAATTGATTTACGGTCATATTCTAGGTTTTCTCCTTCTCGCAGCTCCTGTGGACTTCTTCCAAAGGGAAGTGAGAAATTAATTATTGGGAGATGAAGGGATAGATGTATTTAAGAAACGAGAAATTACCCTAAATAGAAAAAAACGTTTATGTATACCAAAATATGATTATTGTGTTTTTATTCTTTAGATATGAGTAATTATTATCATGTTTTGGCGTTACAAATTAAATTTTAAATTTGACATTATTTTCTGAGTTTGGCAGTAATTACTACTCCCTCTAGTCCCATTTTGGTTGTCTTACTTTATTTTTTTGGTTGTCCTAAAATGGATATCATGTTTCCCTTTTGGTAAGAAATTTGTAGTCCATATCATTTCACTTCATTCTACTCAAATCTCAATCACAAATCTTTTAATCACTTTATTAATAATCGTGCCAAATTGAAATGAGACAACCATTATGGGACGGAGGTAGTACTATTTATGAAATAAAAATATGACAATCTTATTTTAGAATTTTGAAACGTTTTTACTCTGAGTAATTTCCCTTTACAAATATTAACAGTCTTTTTTTATTTGTGTGTTTTTGTACACGATAATGATTGATCTCATGGTTGTTTTTTCCCCATCATATTCAGATTAGGAATTTGCGTGAAATTATTTCCGAAGTCTTAATTATTAATACGTACTCTAACATCCAACAATAAAAACATCACGATCAAGCATTTCTAATCTAAAAACATTATAATTGTGAATATAGGTTAATAACCTTGATTTATGTCAATACTTTGTATGCACACAAGCTTGTACGTTCTTTTTAAAATGTACTCCCTCCGTCCCAATTTGTAAGATACATTACGGTTTACGATGTTTGACTGATGATAAAGCAAATTGATCCCTGACAACACTCAAATTAGTTCTAGAAAATAAAATTTACATATTTATAAACTACATTAAAACCGCTACAAAACCTGCAAAAAATAATTCAAATTTCATAAACTTTTGATATATAAAATAAAAGATTAGGATTGATTTATGTTGACCAAGTGAATAGTAAATGTATCATACAATTTGGGACTGAGGGAGTAGTACTTATTTTTCTCAAAGACTAAAATAACCTTAACACCGTTAAAAAACTTAACTTTGTGAGTCACATATATGTTAGTGCATTATTATTACAACCATTATGACTACCTCAAGCAATACCATACGTTACTATCATCATTAATTTAGAAATTAGAAATTTGTAATGGCTCAAAGAGTTGAATATTTGAGTAGAATAAGTAGTGTCACACTTAATAAATCTTGTTAAATTGATATCTTTTCACAGTGTTTCCTTTTCCTATTTTCAAATAATTTTACTATCATCGTTTACTCAATTAATATTATGAAGTTCTGGTTGAAGTGGCTGAATCGGTTAATTCTGCTGAAATTTATGAAGTTTTGGCTGAAGTGACTAGATTGGTTGATTCTACTGAATTGTGAAAAAAAATTTATCATCATTCAAAAAAAAATTATTAATGAAATAAATAAAAAATTATATATTAAATTAACTAAAAAGGTCCTCTACATTAAAATTAGCAAATTTAGCCAGAAAAGTAACGTATACCTTACTTATTTTAATTGTTACACAATTCATTGTGTGAAATTTAAGGTTATGTGTTTCATGAAAAAATTGGCTATAAGCTGGCTGATAAGATGGAAAACATAATCACCAAACGAGCTCTTAAAATTTTATAACATACAAGAGTATATAGGTATCCTTGAAAAGATCAAAATAAATGCATAATGTTCACCACAAGTAATACAAGGTTAGCTAACATGAGTAAAGTATGCAAATTGGTTATAAATTACCAAAGTGACAAATTTTGGGATTGAGATGTGTTATATTGCTCAACTTAGCCTTTAAGCACAATGAACAGCTACATATATATAATCAAGTTGTCCCCAATGCCATGTTCTCTTTAAGAGATCATCTTGTTCACATGATGGATATTTTTGTATGTTCTTATGGATGTGTAAGTCTAGGTAGCTCTATTTAATTCAAGGCTCAAAAGCTAATAATTTACAATTATTTCACTCACATTTCCATTTTAAGTAACAAATATGTGGCTAAAATTATTTATCTCTTCACTAAACAAATTTCAATTACAAAGTTGTTACTTTATCTTTTTTTTTAAAGAGAGTTTTATTAATGATGAAATCAGAAATTACAAGAAGGGAAAAAAGAAAGAAAAACATCAAACAAAGAAGAAAGAAAAGGAAAGAATGTTAGAAGAAAGTTGTTACTTTATCATTCTATGTAATAGTCAAACTTAACCGAGTTTAATTTTATGGGACGAAATGATATGTTAAAACAAAAAAATACAACGGAATCGCATAATTGTATACTTTAAAGTCATATAGACATATTTTTCACACAATAAATGGTTGACATGGAATATAATTGATCTAACAATTTTTAAAATAAGTAGGATATCTCATTAAGTATTTACAAAAATCTCATAATAATTGCGCATGTAATAGTTCTTTACGGAAAAGAACATTATTTTAATATTGGGCAATCACTCTCGCGCTTTGCGCGAGTAAGTGCTAGTTCATTTGATATACTCCGTAGGAAGTATAAACCTAAAGCATCGTTGTTTCCAATTGGTACAGACTTGAAGAGAGGCTCCATGGAAATCAAAACTCAACCTCTGATGATTCTCACATATCAAAACATTAAAGATAAATTAAGTCAAATTAGGTATACAATTTTACTGTATGTTTTTGGAAATGATTGTTCAGTGACTGAGTGTTATTATTCTATTATTCATAGTTTTAAACCATACTTGTATATGTTATTACCCTATGTTGTTTGACCTAAATGTTAAATTGAATTTGTTTTAAGTAATCATAAAAAAAAGGTTCCTCTCAAACCCGATGCCTCAATCCACAACTAATTGGTGCAGTATAATACCGATGTGTTACGTTTAATTAGAATGAAATTTTGTAGTATGATTTGATTTGTTTAAGTCTGGTTTGAACTGTTTCAGTCTGATATGATAAATATATGATCTCTATTTATTTTGCAACTGTCGAATTCTAATCTGATCCGACACTTTAAGTCTGGTTTAGTCTATTCTAGTTCGATAATCTGAGACTGAAATAAATCCAAGGAAAAAGAATGTAAAGCCGCTTGATGGCTCAAATAAAATTTAAACCAAGGTTTCTTTAAAAAAAATCAATGAGGTATATGACATTATGAAGTGCAACTTAAATGGTAGACTTAACGAAATAAACGTATGTGGTAAGCCTCTACCCATCTGTTCCATATTTATGAGCCCTCAAATATAATGACTTTTAAATAAGTGTTGCTTTAATTCAAGTGGAACAAATGAACAATGTATGTTTGATTACACGTCTCTACAATTTATGGAGCAATGTTGCTAGTGATTGATGACGCGTGACATTATTTTCATTAGGTTTCCCATTCATGCTATAGGTCGTTCTGAGTACATACTCAAAATTTGATCAGGAGGGAACAAAATTTTAGAGATCAGAGAAGGATAATTACTTTTTGAATAATGAAAAAAGAAGTTAAATTATAAAACGTAAGATTTTTCTCAAATTTTACTATATTGAAATTCACTTTCAACGATTTGACTACCCCTGTATTGAGATTTATACAAAAATATGACTATAATTAGTTAATTACTATGAGTTTTGTGTCATGATATGATTACATAATTTTAAAAATAGAACATGAGAAAAGGGTCAAATAAGACCTACTATTATGAAATAGTCACATTAGGCCGCGTACTCAATAAAGTGTCATATAAGTACATCTACTTGTAAAAAGCAATCAAATAGGTCCTAATGACCTATTTAATACCTCTTAATCCCGGTTTTAGCGTACATGTGACCATCTTTTTAGAATATATTATACAGCATACGTCGAATATTTAACTAAGATTGGGTGAAATACAAGTCAAAAAAATCGACATGTAAGCTAAAACCGGGATTAGGAGGTTGTAAATAGATCATTATGACTCATTTGATTGTTTTTTACAAGTTGAGGTACTTATATGACACTTTATTGAGTACATGGCCTTATATGACTATTTCATAATAGTAGAAGGCCTTATTTGACCCTTTTACTCAATAGAACATAAATTGTTTTGACCAATATTACCACTATCCTTATTTTTGTACAGAATTTAAAAACTAGCTTGTACTCCATAGCTTATTGCCACTACAAAAACATTACTGGATTAGCATGGTTTTGGCACGGATTTACAGATGATTTTGTGCCAAATTGTTTTTGGCCCGGATTTAGCGTATCTCTGCCAATTTCCAAAAATCCCTTCCAAAAATCTTTGTCAATCCCGTATTTTTTTGTAGTGTACCAGTTTCTTATGTCACTATCACTTGCAGTGTACATTTTTATGTCACTATTGTTCGTTTTTAGGTCACAGAGTTGGTGTCAAAATAACTGTCCAATGTGACTCTATGATCACCGATAGTAAACTTTGTTGTCTTTTTCGATGTCTTTTCTACCAAAACAATTCAAGAAAACATCCCTTTGGTATTTACATAATGTTATTTCTGACAACTTACTATAAGAAAATTGGAAATATGTCCAATATGAGTGCGACGACAATGGAAATGGAGAAGCTGAGGGGGTGATTTAGTGGTGGACCGGGCCCGGTCCGGTTCAGGCCTAGGCCCGTCCGCCAGGCCTGGAAGGTTGTGGGTAGGGCCCGGGACGGCCCGGTAGGCTACCGGTTCTGGGCCGGGCGGGTTCCCGGTTATATTTTTTTGTTGTTTTATTATTTATTTCAACCCATACCCCCCACCCCCACCCCCCAAACCCCTCTGAATCACCCAGCCCAGCCCACCTAAACCCAGCCCAAACAAAAAAAAAGGTCTGAACTATCCGGGCCAGTTCGCTATTTTGGTGCCCTGGGACTGCCCCCGGTATGCTCTCCGGGTCGGGCCTAGGCCCGGTACTGGAACCTGTCTTCCGGGCCGGGCCGGACCCGCACAGTAGCGGGACGGGCCGGTTCCCGGGCCGGGTCCATGACTAGGGCGATTGATGGGGAAAATGTTGACTAGGAAAGAAACTTGAATTCGTAATTTTATTTGAAAATTAGTTACAGTTTTTATAGGAAAAAAGAGCTAATCCCATATTCGTTTTCTCGAAGTCGATCTATTACTACTATATGGAATAAAAACCAAGTACCAATTTGAATTATTACGAGAGAAAATCGCACTTTTAGTTCCTGAAATAGTCACCATATTGAAATGTCAGATCCGTATTTTCGAGTTTGTAATGTCACCCCTTAATTGTCCAAATTAGTATAAATGTGATCCTTTGATGGGTGAAATATACTCACCCACATTCTACATTCACCTCTCAAAGGATTCACATTTACAACAATTTGGACAATTAAGATGTGACACTTACAAACTTGAAAATATAGATTTGACAATATGAGTGCATAAATATTCGGTATGTGGTACTATTCATTATGAGTGCATGCAGTAAAATGGCCACCATACATTGAGGTGGGAAGTGGATTCTGTATGAATGAAATGTTGTGTAATCCACTAATTAAGAGGCATGTAAAGCGAATCAGAAACTACGAGAAGAACCGATTGCCAACGAAAAACTTTATTGGTGGAATCATGAACTGTACGTATATGTAGTCCTTTGCATGTATGCATCTTATTTACCTTCTACTGCAACATGAACACTACACAAAGTGGCGAACCACATCTAATTAATCACTTATTCCTTATTCGATCCACCCACTCATGTACACAAGCATTCAAGCAAATCCCAATTTTAATAAAGAAGAATCACACTTCATCTCTGATCCCAAGTTCCCAACATCCATTGGGGACGATTGACTAGGAAGATGAGAATTAGATTTTAATCAAAAATAGTGAGTGAGAGGATGTAATTGACGTACTTAAGCACTTAGATAGGATTATGTATTTTTATATAATAATCTCCATCGCAGATTCCCATGTGATGGGATTCAATTTGAAACCGAGATTTATTTCTTGTGATACCCCCAATTTGTAGCATCTAAACTAGATCAGAAGCTGATATTTTATGGAAAAACTTGTGATGAATGAGAGTAAAAACATTGTGAAATTGCAATATGTGAGTTTTTTTTATTTTTACTCCATATGGACCATATATATAAGTGGTCATTGTGTACTTGATAAACAATGTCAAATATAGAAAATACTACGGAGTACAAAATATATTCGTGTAATAATTGTTTTTAGGAGAAAAACATAATACTACGTCTCATATTTTAAATTTATACAGTATATTGTTATTATATATGTCTGGGAATTTTCCCTTTTTACATACTATCCTCCGTTCTCTTTTAATCGCAACATTGGACTTTTTACACTATTCACATATTCTATTTTGACTATATTTTATTCATTAATGTATTATAAATAATTTTTTTTAAAAATATTATTATATTCTTCTCATTCTAAATTTTCAAAATATGAATTTTTTGAATTTTTTACTAATAAGGAATGAAAGATATTAATGGTCAAACTTGTGCGTTGGCAAACGTGAAATGTTGACTGTTGCAATTAAAAGGGAACGGAGGAAGTATGTACTACTTCATACGTAGTATTAAATTTCTTACTACTAAGATTAATTCATCAAGGATAATTTAAGAATGACCTAACTTGAGTCAGACAATACTCCATTACTAAAATACATCAAACAAATTAGATCAAACCCAAATAAAGAGACCTGAAATTTTCACTCTAATACAAAATAATTGTTATTAGATCATTTTACAAGATAATTTATATTCTTTTTAGAGGGGCACGTACTTTTAATTAAGAGAACAAACACACTCTAACAATACCAGATCAAACAACTGAGTATGAATGCATATATAAAAGATGGAGACATGATTTGGTACATACCGGATGAATCGGAGTCTTGAGCGGAGGAGCTAGAGTGGGAGAAACCTGGAGAAGCTGATTTTGAACCGCCGAGAAGTTTCCGGCGGCGGTCATTGATAACATGCTTCAGATCCAACAGAATTTGTAGCTGTTTGTTCAAGTTCTCCCCTCTTTCAAGAAACTCACTCTCCTTATTCTTGTAAAATTCATTTACTTTTTTAAGCTCTTCATCCAATTTTTCGAAAAATACATTGACCTGCACACATCCACAATAAAAAATTGATGAATTAATTAATCAAATAAAAAATTGAGTTACCAGTCTACCAGATTTCGCATTTTATACTACGTATTTAACTACTACACGTGATTGAACAACGGCTCCAAAGGAGTACAAGATAATCAAAATGCACAAATTAAATAAGAGTATCTATGTTTTATTCCCCAATATAACACTACAAGAAAACAACGATATTGATACGGCCTTGATATTGATTGACCGAGTTTGACACGAATCATAACATGTTTTTGGAACGGCGTTGTGCCAAATAACTTGTTCCAAAATAGCATTGACACACAATTTGGCACGAGTTTTAAATATCCGTGCCAAATACATACCATATGAGTTTTAACAAATTTGTGCCAAAGATCCGTACCAAATCCGTGTGAATTTCATTGTTTTTTGTAGTGAATATGATAATTATTATGAAATATTCTAAGTTAGAAGTGACTACTTTATAAGGAAGACAATGGTGATCTTAATTGTACTCCATACTAGCTTTGTTTATGTCATGTTTGATAGACATAACTTTCTGTAATTTATTTTTGAAATTGTTTAAAAAATCTCTAAAACATATTCAGACCAAATTAAAATCAAAGATCAAACCAAGGGTGTAAGTATAATCCAATTAGAAACACCTCAATTATACTTTTGTTTTATTTATAGTACGTAGGGTAAGATAAAGCCATGTTAAATTTAATCATCGTTATAAAGACGTTATTTATTTATTTGAACACGCTCTCTAGCATATCTACCAATGAAATCTTCAAGAACAATTTTATTCAAGAACATGGACGTTTTTATGGGTTAAATAGATTATACAGAACAACCCCACCCCCACCCGATTTATGGTACAACCGGCTGTACGGTGAGCACCGTACAGCCGGCCTAGTAACAGGTCTAAGGGAAAAACAAAAAAATAATTCAGTGGCATTTTTGTAATTAATGCGAAAATCGCGGTTTCTGCTAAATGAGCATTAGTGTACTGTTAATGAGCAATAGTCCAATTTTAATGAGTATTAAGCGTCTAATAATGAGCACCACGTTATTACAAGAAAGCTGATGTCACAACTAAAAAACAGTGTCATTTTCGTAAATTCAATGAAAATCGCGGTTTTCGTTAGATGAGCATCAAACGTATTCTACTGAGCATTAAGAGTATCACAATGAGTATTGTGATATCAACTTCATATATTGTAACTCACTTTCTTTTTCTTATTTTTTCTTTTATAAAATCTTATTAATTTATATCTATAATCAATTGCTATGAATTTCAATATGTGAATCTAATGTAATACGATACTTTTGAAATATACATTGTTATGACATTTTAGAAATGAGCACATCAGTACCAAATGAGCATATGTAACGTACAAATGAGCATTTATATGAAAATCGTAACTTTTGTTAGTTGAGCATCAAGCCTCCTCTATTGAAATTAGGTTTATGCAACTTAGTGAGTATCTGACATGTTTTGTTGAGCATTGGAAGCCTAACAATGAATATCGTAATCTGCTTTATATATTCCGGAATTCACTTTTTTTCTTCTTATTTTTCCTTTTTTAAGAACTTATTAAATATTATCTATAATCAACTCATGTGAACTCCAATATGCAAATTTAATGTAAATTGTAACTTTTGAAATATGCATTGATATGACATTTTAAAATGAGTGTAATACCTGTACAAAATGAGCATACATTACTTACCAAATGAGCAATGATATCAAAATTGTAAGTTTTGTTAGTTGAGTATCAAGAGATTGTCATTGAACATCAAACTTGCTCTATTGAGTATCAAAAGAATGCAATTGAGTATCATTACCTCTGCTCCCATTATATAACCCAACTCTTATGCATCTAATATGATACTTTTAAAATATGCATTAATATGAAATTTTTAAATGAGCATAAAACCAGTATCAGATGAACATACATGGTTTACAAAATAATTATCGAAAAACTTAAAAGCTCGTTTGAGTTCTCTAATATTTTCAAATGTTTATTTGTGCATATTTAGTTTACACTATACTCATTTTAATATAACACAAAACTCATATTAGTTTTTGACACACAATATTTAATAAGTAATAAATACTTATCTTAAAAGTAAAAATAGAAAAACAAAACATTTATACCTAAATAAACAACAAATTAAACAAATGATGTTAGAATTATGATTGAAAAAAGGAGAAACAAAAACTCGACACCATATTAATATTTTATATTATAAATTTTCATAATGATTGAATAAAAATTAAAGCAAAAGGCTCTTGAATTAAAAAGTAAAGAAAAAGAGAAAAAGAAAACAACAATTAAAAGACTAACCTAGAGACGAACGAAAGAAAGAAACAAACGAAAAGAGAAACTAAAAAAAGCAGAGCAAGCAACGTGCGGACCGTGGGCCTGCGGCTAAGAAAAAACGGCGACTGAAGAAGAATCGGAGAAAGCAGAGCATCGTAGTTATAAGTATGAAAGTTCAATTTAATTTCAAAAATACCCGGCTGTACGGTGCTCACCGTACAGCCGGTTGTACGGTATAATCTGCGCGATTTATGGGACTGCAGAATTTTAAAAATTTATTAGTATTATATATCAATATAATATTACATATATTATACTTCCTCCGGTTTTTAATAAAATTCACACTTTCATTTTTGGGACGGTCTAAAATAAACTTCACACTTCTTTATTTCCTTTTTTGGCAAAGAAATCTACATCAAAACAGTGTCAAACAGTGCCAAACAGTGTCTCAACAGTGTCAAACAGTGCCTCAACCGTGTATTCTACAATAAAGTCAAATTTCTTTCCTTATTTTGGGTGAAGTCAAAGTGTGAAGATTAAATAAAATCGGAGGGAATACTAATCAGTAAAATAAAGCTATTAAGAAATAAAAATATGGATCTATCATTTTTTCATTGTTCCTTTAAATCAAGTATTAAGTAAGTTTTTAAAAATTTTATTACATTATTTAATGAGTATTCAATTGATTTGAGTATTAATAATTAGATTGAGATTTTTTATTATTATTCATAGTAATGTGGGATTTGGAATTTAGAACGGGTTTTCAAATTGATTTGACTGCTTGAAAACATGTCACTCCGTATTTAATACGTAGTCCTATTGTACTTTCTAAATACTCCGTATTAAAGATAGACAAACTATAACTCGTTTCAATTCCTGGCCTCTGATCTGTCGAATTAAATATTCAATTTGTTTAGAGAATGAATCAGTTTTGATTCAGAATCGAATCTCCACCGCTTTAAATATTCAAGCTGTTTGAAGATTCAAGAATGTGAAGTTTAATTTAACTCGATGAGCCTTCTCCACTAAATTGAATATGATGTTCAAGGTATCTGAAGATTAATACTTATAAATTAACACCAAGCTAGATTAATATTTGGCTTTATTTCAAGAATAGATAACAAACTAAGATTGAAGGCCTTTTAATTGATGACAAAACCTCTTGTATGACACTTGATTACAGATTTATAGATCATGTTACTCGAATATTGACAACTTTTAATTGAAGATTGAGTTGATTTATGGACATTCTGACTGAGTAAATTCAATAACGTAGTGAGTGATTCGAAGATTCAAAGAACTCAGGTATTATATTGAGATATTTGATATTTTATTATTATTATTATTATTATTATTATTATTATTATTATTATTATTATTATTATTATTATTATTATTATTATTATTATTATTATTATTATTATTATTATTATTATTATTATTATTATTATTATTATTATTATCATTATTATTATCATTATTATTATCATTATCATTATCATTATCATTATCATTATCATTATCATTATCATTATCATTATCATTATCATTATCATTATCATTATCATTATCATTATCATTATCATTATCATTATCATTATCATTATCATTATCATTATCATTATCATTATCATTATCATTATCATTATCATTATCATTATCATTATCATTATCATTATCATTATCATTATCATTATCATTATCATTATCATTATCATTATCATTATCATTATCATTATCATTATCATTATCATTATCATTATCATTATCATTATCATTATCATTATCATTATCATTATCATTATCATTATCATTATCATTATCATTATCATTATCATTATCATTATCATTATCATTATCATTATCATTATCATTATCATTATCATTATCATTATCATTATCATTATCATTATCATTATCATTATCATTATCATTATCATTATCATTATCATTATCATTATCATTATTATTATTATTATTATTATTATTATTATTATTATTATTATTATTATTATTATTATTATTATTATTATTATTATTATTATTATTATTATTATTATTATTATTATTATTATTATTATTATTATTATTATTATTATTATTATTATTATTATTATTATTATTATTATTATTATTATTATTATTATTATTATTATTATTATTATTATTATTATTATTATTATTATTATTATTATTATTATTATTATTATTATTATTATTATTATTATTATTATTATTATTATTATTATTATTATTATTATTATTATTATTATTATTATTATTATTATTATTATTATTATTATTATTATTATTATTATTATTATTATTATTATTATTATTATTATTATTATTATTATTATTATTATTATTATTATTATTATTATTATTATTATTATTATTATTATTATTATTATTATTATTATTGAATATATAATAGGTTGGCTTGTCCTGCATGTCTACTTGCATGGGCCATGCAACTTGGGAGTCTCATTCAATTCTAAAAAATTAATCTTCTCATTAATGATACTTTAAAAATCTAATTATTCATTGAAATTTATTGACTCTAATATCATATTAAGTCTTGAAGTTCATCTTGTTGAACTTGATGAGAAAAGCATAGATAAGAACCAAGAAATCTAGGATTTATGTGTTATGATTTAGTATCATTATCAAAGACCTGGGTATCATTCAAGTGAAGATAGAGCGCTTACATGCGACCTTTAGAAAAAGATTAGGTCATTTCAAGACAATCACAAGAGGCAATTGGAAAAGGATATTACAGATACTCAAAGAATTTGAAGATTTTAATATAAAAAAATCTTTTTAATTTAGTGAAGGATCAAAGGGCACATATTTACATATTGTTCCCAACCTTTATTAATATAGTATTTGTCCTATATAGGACTAAAATTTAACTAAAATGCACTAATAGGACCATATCTTTTTTATTCCCTAAATAGGACTCCGGATTACCATTATACCCTCCTATATAACTAGAGGAAACCCTGGGAATTAACCGCAGGAATTAACCGCAGCACTCCGCTCTCGATCGATCGACTCTCCCATGCCTACTCTCTTTGTATCGGCTCCCTCCACCGCATCTTTTTCTTCTGTGCCGCCGCTGCTCATCTTTCTCTCACCTCGCTCGAAAGGTATGTCTTTCTCCTCCTCCTCTTTCTCCTCCTCCTCCTCCTCTTCTTTTTTCCTCTTCTTATTCGTCTTCTCCTTTGTTATTCGTCTGAAATTTCAGATTTTATTTCATCGATCTAATTTTGTTTTTTAGAGGAAATTTCAGATTTCTTTACATTTTGTATTTCTAGCATCAATTTTCTGATTTTTGAAGACTGGTTTCGTTTTTCTTTTTTCTGATTTCATTAATTTCTTATTTCAATTAAGTTTTTGTTTTCCTGATTTTAGGCATTGGCTTTGTGTTTTGCCAAAATTTTGGCAATTCTGTGCAAAATTTACAATTATGTAATGGCATAATTTTCACTTCGATTTAAAATTTTTGCCATCTTTATGGAATATTTGATGATAATACTATAGCAGAAAGAATTTTGTTTTTTCGAAAAACTGCCAAGTTTAAGGAAAATGGTTGGTGCTTATATGTTTATATATTTGTTCAATTTCGATTTTTGCAGATCAACTTTATGTTTTAATTTTTTATTTAAAAAATCTCATTTCGTTTAAGATCTACTTTTTCTACTTTTTTTTGTCATTAGCTTCGTTTTCTGATTCTGATTGTGTAAATCTTTTTGCCAAATTTTTGACATTTGTGCGTATTCCATTAGTTTTTTTTCTCCAATATTTGGATATTGACTTCTTGTTTTTGCCAAATTTATGGCAATTTTGTGTTAATCTTCCAACATAAATCTGTCATCTTTATGACAGATCTGAAAATCTGCCAACTTAATGGTGGCGGCGGCGAATGATGGTGGCTGGCGGTGCCGGCGAGGGCAGTGGCATGCGGTGCCGGCGAGTGTGGCGGCAAGAGGTTCCGGCGAAGGCGGCGGCAGAAGGTTCCGGCGAAGGCGGCGGCAGAAGGTTCCGGCGAGGGCGGCGGCAGGAGGTGCCGGCGAGGGCGGCGGCAAGAGGTGCCGGCGAGGGCGGCGGCAGAATGTTCCGGCGAGGGCGGCGGCAGGAGGTGCCAGGGGGCGCCGACGAGGGAGGCGGTAAGGGTGGGTCGTGTGTTACGGTTGAAATTTGGGGTTCCAAAATTTTAATTTTACTTTTTTAATTATTAATTCAAAAGAAATTGTTAAGGGGCATATTTGTACAAAATGGTGGTTTTAAGTCCTACGAAATTTTGTTTTTTCTTCAAGTCCTATTTGTGCACATTCAATTAGTATTAGTCCTATATGGGTCATTAACTCTTATTAATATATATCGATCAATTTTAAGTTTATACATAAAATGTATTTCACACTGCACGGATAAAAAAAAGTTTACCTCATCTTCCTCGGAGAATAACTGAACAAGCTCATTTTCATTCTCACGTATTTCTGGATAGTTTTCTTGTTCTCCATCACTACTCTCTTCTCCTTTACTTTGGGTATTCGCCTAGTTAAATACAGTATCACATGTACCAAATTCTATTAGTAAAAAAAGGATGACACCTCATCTCTGAGGACCCCCAACACCGACCAGACGACAAGATGGAATGATGTAAATTGAATTATAATCACAATTTGACTGATAGAGAGTGGGGAACTGTCCCCGGCACTTGCAGAAGTCCTCTTTTGAGTAACCTCTCATCGCAGTTGTCGAGAGTCGAACACAGGATCTAACCCTTGTGGCACTTACTCGCTATCCATTGACATACGCCCATAGGTTACCAAATTCTACTAGTGTTATATTGACTATACATCTTCTCATACAATAAAACGAACGTCATAAAATTGACCAACTCAAATCCCTTCAATCTACGTCTCATCCAAAAGTTTAAAATCCCGACCAACACCGGCAGAATGTCGGGTTTTCCGGCGACGTAATGACTCACCTTATGAACTACATTGTACGGAGTATAATGGTGGTGCATCAATTAACAAACGTTCAATCCGTTTGGACCTCTATTTTGAACTTATTAGCAATAGTCTTATCAAATTTTCCATATGTAACTTTTAATGCAATTTTTTTAAGTAACAGTTACTTTTTGATGGAATTGGGTGCTAGGGTAGATACTCTCATACTCTCATACCATCATTTCACCCGCTTTAGCGGACAGTTAATCAATTTTAATAGATTAAGTTGATTAAATCAACTTCAAAGTTACCAAACGAGCTAAAAATGTTGTTGTAAATGAAAAATAAAAGAAAAAGAACAAAGTTCATGTTCATGATTTCTATTTTAAATTTATCCGTTATTTCAATTAATTTTTTTTTTAGTAAATATTGATTTTTATTAGAATTCTATATTCTGTAGTAATAAAAATGATTGAAGTCGATTTTCTGACTGAATTAACTTAATTTGATTAAGAACACTATTTTAGTTTTATTCACATAATTTTATGTATTTATTTGATGAAATACACACAAAATTTATTTTATATTAATTTCAATTGTAACCATCATTTCAGCTATTTCGGTCCATTTGAAACTACAAATTGTAAAAAAGAAGAGTAATCGGACATCAAGCGTGCCAAGTGGTAAGGACACCACATATCCTCTTTTCCTCTTACCAACAAACATGACAAAGAAAATTGATGCATTTATATGGGTAGTAGTTTCCCGCCGTGTTTATATCTTTAAAAATTAGGTTCTATTTTAGAAAACTGGAGAAATAATTGAAGCAAAAATTATACTAGCCCCTATATTGATTGTCTTATTTTAGCTTTGCACAATAGAGTGATTTAAAAAGTAAAATTTATGGTTGATATTTAAGTAAAATAAATTGAAATGATATCATGAAACACATACTCTATATTTTACAACAATTATTTTCATATAAAAACGAAACGAGATAGTTATTTTGGGGCAACCAATATGTTTTTGGGCAACCAATATCTTCTAAGAAAAAAGAACACATTTCCTTCATTTTGAAACAAACGAAAAAGAGAATAAAACAACGAACCAAAATTTGACAAATGGTTTTCTATACCGTATAACAACGAACCAAAATATGACAAATGGTTTTCTATACCGTATTAGTTCACTTTTTTAGTTCATGTGCACCACCTTTTTTCTTATTCATAATCTCTGGATGGGCTCCACAAGAAACATGAGTTAAATCAAGCCTTAGATCCAATCATTTTAAAAGAGGTACCGATTCATTTAAAAGCTAACTAAATTCAGGTTTTAGGAATTTTTTTTTCTAAATTCAGGTTTTAGGATATACGTATATATTTTGGTGTCTTAGGATACATAATTTGATGTTTCAAATAACATGCATGTCATAGTTGAGAAGTTAGAATTAATTCCACTTTTAATCAATTTTATGTCAATTTTACATTTAGTCCACATATTTCATTTTGTCTACTTTTGATACTTGACAAATGGTTTTTGATCATTTGTGGTTCTTCTCCGATGATTTTAATCACCGAAAACATTGTACGAACGATCATATATGAGTGAAAACACAATAGTCATGTATTGAATTTATTCAAGTTTAAATTATATTTTGACTTTTCATTTTATATATACGATTTTTTGTAACTTTGATAAATATAAATTCGTTATATTGAATTGACGCAATTAAAGACTTTAGCTATGCTATTATGTTTATGGGATTTTTATGTTTGGTACCAAATATACAAAGAAAAAATAAAACAAATGATTTAACATTGATAAAAGATACAAGACATTTGGTGGGTGTTCAAAACAGATAAAAAAAATTAAACTTGTATTTTTTTTATTTATTCAAAACCTAACTTAAGTGATCAATTTGAAATTCGTTTACAATTTTAGTATACAATTTGATGCCCCCTCTTTTATGATTGTACTCCATCTATTCCTTAAAAAGTACGGATTGGAGTAATCATCTTCATTTTGTTGGCCAACTTATGATAATTAATGTTGGACTTCAACTAATCTACTTGTATATTTGTATAGAAATTTATATAATATTCGAAAATGATTTCAACTCTATTTGAAAAATCTAGAAACTAAATACTACATCCGTTCTTAAATACTCCGTAAACGCAACATATGAAAATTTATACTATTCATATGTTCGAACAAAATATGTGAAGTCTACGTCAGAAAGCACGCGTAGGACACGTTTAGTACCTGAGAACTTTCCGGCTTTTCGACGCCGGCGTCCCCGTCCCTCCCAGAGAGCCTCTGGACCAGAGCCCGAACCGGATCGAAAATAGACCGGCCAAAATCATGGCCATCTTGAACCGATTTGGCTCGTCTTGAAAGCTTGATCCTTTTTACATGTTTCTTCAAGTTCCAGTAGTTCACAAAAGCATCCTTCCATTCCGGTATAAGCTGAGCCTCCAGCTCCTTTGAGAACTTCACCATTCTTGCTACGGAATAGTTCTGGCCGGAAACCACCGGTTCAGCCGGTCCGGAATGATTTTGCGTTAAACACAATTAATTGTGAATTAAGGAGAAAACAAAAATGATAAACGAGATCAGAAGATGGAGACGGAGAATGAGCAAATGGCGTTCAGATATATATAGTGCGTCACACGTACGGGGAATGTGCTCAATAAATGTGATACTCCACAGCTTTTGTGGTCGGGACCAACTTACTCCGTATATTTGTACTGTAGTAAAGTTTTGGGAAATATTTGTCAAACAAATGGGGGAGGTATAATATTTTTAATTGGATTAAAAATTTTGCCCAGTATGACTTGATTTGTTTAAATTTGTCTATTTTGAATCCATTTATTTTGATAAAGATTGTTTTAAACTCCGTATTAAGCAAACTTTTTGTTGAGTTTGTTTTTCAGCTTATCAGCTAACTTTTCCATCAAATACGTAACTTTTGTTTCACAGAGTGAATTGTGTAATCATAAGAAACGTGAGATTGAAGTTACTTTTTTTTTGCTATAATAACTGAAATTACTGTAGAGAGCCAATTGAACTATCTTTCCATAAACAAATTTCTTTATCTTATTAATAAAATAGATTTTCAATTCAAATTTTACATAAATGAACAAAATCAATCAATTCTGTCACTTCAGTCAGATAGAACTTAATAAGTTTTATAATTCAATCGATTTGTGTACTAAGACTCTAAGTTTGAGATTGAAATTTCAATCCAAAACATCACAATATTACTTTAAATAGTTTACATGTCTAGTTTTTTTTTGAAGGATTTACATGTCTAGTTATTTGGTCTAATATTGTTTTACTTTCTATGTGATAATTGTTAGTCGGTATTTGCTTGTACACTGCCATCGAGTGGGTTTGTTGTCACACTTCACTTCTAATGGTTTTAATTTGCACCTTACTTTAAAATGGGTATTATACCTGCAAAAAGTAAAAACAAAAATGTTCGAAAAAAGTAAAATATAGAAGTGAATTGAAATATGACTAAATATGTTCCATTAATTCTCGGTATATATGAGATTTAATTACTATACTTAGCTCAAATAAAGAAAAACGATAGTTAAAACTTCTTTTTAGGAGTGAATGTATCATAGAAAATTACCCTAGACATGAGAGCATTTGCTATGACTTATTTGATAGTTGGATCTAGCTAGAGATTTTGCTCTATTGCAAATCCAAATTTCACGATAAAATATAGAATCATATTCAAAATATTTATTAGCAGACTAGCAGTATATTAGGTAATAGTAGTGGTTGCCCCTAGGACGTTGTTTACGGAATCAAAACTAATTTAGATTTGTTTTGAATCCAAGGCAAATGCATTGAATATATATGCTTTTAAGTTATAAAAAGTTTCTTCGAATATACTTTCAACCAAATTAATGCTAAGGCTGTGATCAGTGTTTATCAAGACCTTACAAGACCAATAGAGAAAAGTTTTATATTCTACGTAAATGTACGTACATCTTTAGAGTGATAAGAGCTGTAAGTGTGTTTGGAAAAGAATTGAATTTAATTGACCAGCCCAAATCAACCATTGTCCTTCGTATTTGTTAACATATTCCTTTATAACTCAAATCTTCAATATCATTGATACCAACACGTAATCAGTACCTTTACTCCTACGTACATGTAATTAATTAAAACACAACTCATATATTTCTAGATAAACTCCTTTTCTCTTTTATTATTAGAACTAAATTTTTAGGGAGATTGGTCGATCTAAATGTGATGAGAAAACGTATGTATTTTCTCTCAAATAGTATCAAGTAAAACTGTCAAATCTGAATTATATTTCCATACTAGCATTACGTACATTGTCAACGTACATTGTCAGTTGTGAAATACTACCTCCGTCTCATTTTATGTATCTCCTTTGGTTTTGGCACAATTTTTAATAAAGTAATTGAAAAGGTAAAAGTTGTGGTTGAGATTTGAGTGCAGTAAAGTGAAATGTTGTGAACCACATATTTCTTTCCAAAAAGAGAAAGATGACACCTATTTTGGGACAACTCAAAAAGGAAAGTAAGACAAGTAAAATGGGACGGAGGGAGTAACTATACTTTGAATGATCCGAGTATTTATTCGGAGAAAAATATGGTACTCCTATTTAGAGAAATTTATGTTAGTCTTAATATAAGTAAACTTGGTCCAAGTTCAATTCAGTTCCTATTATAATCATTTCCTTTGAAAAATGTTAAACATTTCAAGTTGTTCCAAATTTTAAAAATTCTTATTTGCATTTTTAATTGTAATGATATGAATAGTACTCCCTCCGTCCCAGAAAATTCTTCTAACTTTTCTTTTTGGGACGTCCCAGAAAATTTTTTCAACTTCACTTTTTTGATTATTTGGGTGGCTCACATTCATTTCACATTTTTCTTACACAACTACAATCATACATTTCTACTTTATTTCACTACTTAAATATGCGATCCAACTCAAAGTTGGAAGAATTTTCTGGGACGGAGGAGTATAATAAAGTAGCGCTTTGGTAAACCCAATCACAAAGTAATCAATAAATTCTTTGTGTGTACGATATGCAGTATGTACGCTCCTACCCTTGATCTCAAATTATACTCTAATTAAACTAAAAGATGTGACATGTGCACATTGGTTTAAGGCCGTTAAAACATGGACTCTTGACCGTAACCTTTTGATTATTTAAGATTTAAAATGTACGTAGGGTTTTAGTAACTAAATTCCGGTTGACGGCCTACCTCTCACAGAATACCTGAAATATTGTTATTTTTGTTCAATCATTGATAATTGCATGCATGATCAATAAATTAATTTACGCTTATATGTGTATTTTTTAATTTATGTAAACATAGTAATTTATTTTAAATACCAATAGAATTTCCACATGTGATTGTGTTTTTAATGTGTTTAAAATTTTCTACAATTAATAGTGTTTTTTGAATAATTAGGATAGTTATCTTACAAATTTTGCAACTCTCCTCTTAGGTTAATTATGCCGGATCGGAGGTGACACAGCATAAAATGAGTAAAGCGCACGGTAGAAGCACGATTGAAGCACGGCAAGAGCACGATTATACTCTCAACAACATAAAATGAGTAAAACGTAGACAAAATTTACAAACACAATTCTCAAAATAAGACTTATATAGTCCAATAAAACAATGAACATAATAAAACTTCAACTTTTACATGTGATCGAATAGTAGTTTAATGATGATTGATTTTATATGAAGAGTTTATATTATTTAGCTATCTTATATTTTTATAAGTTTTTATACCCATAATTATTAAATATTCTTGATTACAATTATAGGCTATAAACTCATATTGCCACCCACCACCTCCGGCTTACGGCTGCTGTTGTTTCCACACCAATATCAGTGAAGTAGTCACGAAACGTTTCCCGGCCGGAATTAAGCAATTTTTGAGAAAGTGCTATTATAGTCACATGAAAGGAGCAATTGTTCATACCTTAGCTTATTGATAAGAATATGATTGATAACAGCGATGGAATAAATGTAAAACGGTCCAAGAAATATATTATTTTTCATTCATCTATTTTGTGAATGGATTATCCTTCATTTTTACTTCGTATTATTATGGGATTGTTATTGTTCTCTGAATTTTTCCTGCCACTTTTGCTGACTCATCAAAGAACTAAACTTATTTAAAAACATCAATAATAATAATAATAGTTACAATACTAATTAATGCATCATGGACTCATGCTTTGTCACGTGGATCAAGTACTCGTATGTACGTAAAATTTGTTCCATTTACAACATTAGTGTCTAATATGAGATTCTCATATAACCATAATTTCCAATTTGATCTTTATCCCAACATAGTATTATGCAGTCATATCAATGAAAAATTTATTCTCCTTAGAATTTGTCAAATTTAAATTAGATGAGAAATAAAAAATAAAAGTGATGTGATTGAAATCGATAAATTAAAGGATATAGAAATGAATAGAACCACAAACTAGTTCGTTTAATGAAAAATTGACAAAATATGTATAACAAAAAAAATGAAAGTTGGCTATGTCTATGGGACGGAGAAGTATGTTACTCCGTATTTTGATAACAATAACCATAACAGGAGTGATCATTACGATAATGATAAGACTAATAATAACAACTACGAAGCAAACACTATGAATTGAATAACAATAGTTATAGTTAGCCATAGCCAACAAGATACGTTATTTAGGATGTTTCCTTTTGCACTGAAATTTGCTGGTTTGGTCTTGTCTGGTCTGATTTGATTTGATCTGGTCTGGTCTGGTCTGAATTGGTCTGGTCTGGTCTGAATTGGTCTGGTCTGGTAAACGTCTGGTCTCTGTGTATTTTATAACTACGGAAGTCTGGTCTGGTTTGGTCTGGTCTGGTTGGGACTGAAAACAATCCAAAAAACATCCTTATACTTTTCATTAGTTTATACGTAGTACGTAGTATACATTATGTATATAGAGTCATAGACTATACTCATATATGATATGTAAAAACAATCATAGAAAAAAATCATGTACGAATATACACTCTGGATGTACATAGAAAACGGACCGGAGATGCAATCTTAAATTACTCTAGGTAAAAAAAGTAAATGATAATGATAATGATAATAATAATAATAACTCATGTTATAAATTCAGTTAACTTTACTCTCACGAATTAGCTCTTTGTATAAAATGTTATCAAAGGTTTGTGTAATTATGATTTGAAAATTCTATTAGCACTCATAATTAAAGCTAAGGTCACTAATTAAGGGTCTGTTTCACTAATTAAGGGTCTGTTTCACTCATTTATACACCTATATCAGATTTGGTTCAGCAGGAGTCCAAGATCATAACGATTTCTCATCAATACTTTGAAATGACCTCTTGTCCAATTGAATATTAATGCGTAGTACATTAGTGAGATAGATTATTAACAGATCTAGTAGAAAATGAGTGGTAACTAGTAATCCGGAAAGCATATTACCAAAGACGTACAGTTGTACATTTAAATGAATAAATCCAACTTTAACAGTGCAAAATTAGTTGCATTCACTGAATTCCAAATTATCACGCAATTTGTTCATTAGCATGCACTTTTTAAA